TATATTAATTAGTTTGGTATCAGAGTCTACCTGGATAATGTAGATTTTAATTACCCCTTATGTCACACTATGCACGTTTACTTTTTTCCTCAGTATTAATATATTAAGTCTATATTAAGGAAGAAAGCACAAAAATTTTTTATCTGATGAAGTTTAGTATAAATTTGCAAGTTTCTGTATAAAAAAGAAAGATATTCTAGCTCTGGTAGTCACAAGAGGACTTAGGTTGGTTTCTTTGGGCAGTGTTAAAAAGGATATTGACCATTGTAAATTCCAGAGCCTTAAAGGTCGTCATAAATAAGTGGAGGTGGGACGTTTTGAAGTATTTATTGAACAACTGGAATGTTCCACTGAGAAAACTGCCTTAGCCAGTGAGTTTTCCCGGTGCTGCAATGTAGTTCTCACACGTCTGTAGATTTCATTCTTAAGTAGATAGAAAGCCTAACTTTAAAAATTACCTTTCCTATGCAGCTTGGTTATTTCTGTATTGTGACTTAGATGGATACAGTATATTCTCTTGTATGGTAGTCCAATACAACAGATGCTATCTCTAGTTGTTAAAGAGGAAAAGTCTTTCTCTGTTTGCTATAAAAATTATTAGTGCTTACTAGAAATAATAGTGAGCATGTAGGAGAGTAGATAGAAGAAAAAATTCTGTATGATCTCACTATTCAGGGATAATCCCTTATGTACATTTCATATTTCAAATGCTTTCATAAATTTTAATACTTCTATATTTTTATGCCTTATGATGTTGCACCACTAATATTCAAATTTGTGTGAGGTGTTTAGTTAAAAGTTGTTTCAATTTTCATCCTTTTGTGCCCCCTTATAACACATTGACTTTGAATTCAAACAGGTCTGCTGCTTAGTACTTAGTGTGACTTAGCAAGTTAATATCTCAGTTTGGTTTCAGGCTAAGTGGAACTAGTATTTGTCGATGTCTACTAGACATAATATTGGCCAGGGAGTGCGTTTAGCTATAGTTTTCTTAATCTTTTAAAAATCCACAAACTTTTCTAGGTTGATATTCCAGTTTTATAGAGGAGGCTCTGAGAAGTTAAATAACTTATTCAGGGTCACACAGTTCCATTTAGATGCCTAACTTCTCTGTTAGTTCTAATATACCAGAATGCCGTTTCCACAGTTAAAGAGTAATATCTAGGAGTAATTTAATGCGATTTAGAGGGTTATTGCGAAGAGTCAGTGAAAGCCTATGTATAAAGAATTTGCAGAAAGCTTGTCTCATAGTATATATAGTACGAGTTTTCCTTTCCCTTTTTAATTTGCTTACTTGCCAGATTTCAACTGCTAATGGGTTGCTTTAGGGTAGGGACAATTGAGATCCACTTTTTTTCAGAGTCATAGAAGAGGTAGCCATGTGAAAGTCTGGAGTTCTCCATGGAGCTTTGATCTATTTCCATCTCTATTGTCATGACATCCTCAAATTTAGTGAATGAAAAAATGCTTAATCATTTTCAAATGAATTTATAAACACCGTAGTACAACAAACATTTTATAATGAATGGGGAGATTGTGGGTGTTTCATTTGTGGTTTGTGTATGATAAGTATGCCGTTTATAATATAGGTGGTTTGGTTCTTCAGAAATGTTGAAACAGTCATTGGAAATTAGAAATCTTAGACGTATGCCTAATTTTGACTGACTTATTTCTCTTTTTAAATACTTTTTTACATTAAATTTTTAAAAAGTGTTAGGTTGCTTGGTTAAACATTATTTTCTTAGGAATTTTTTGTGGTAGTATTTGTCAAGCATTAGGAAAATGTCATTTTTTTCCAGTGGTATGTCCCAAAGAAAAAACTTTGGGATAAAAGGAGTCTTTGTTAGGTGTTGAGTCATCAAACATATGAATTGATGCAAAATGAGTTTTTACTTGGATAAGCCTTTTCTCTCATAAGAAAAATGTATGGTTCTGATTTCATGGTCATTTTTAATTCTTATCAGTCACAGTGGTACTCTTACAGTCTTTGTGGTAGAAGTTATATAGTTTGTATACAAGTACTGTGTATGTATTATCAGTTAATCAGTTACTTTTTGTGTTTGAAAAATTTATAGATTTTTCAAGAATGCTTTTTCCCCCCTTAATATATTTATATAGGCTTGAAGAAAACTTGCCTACAGGCTGTGGTTTTTGCCATATACCATATGATGAACTGAATATGCCATTTCCAGCTCATCTCACATATTGCTATAACTGTAGGAAACAAAAAGTTCCTGATGTTCTCTTTACAACTATAGACCTCCCAACAGATGCAACAGTTATTGGAAAAGGTTGTCTTATTCAAGCAAGGTATGTTTGTGAAAACAGCATTTAGTATCTCTGAAAAAGTATGAGGTATAGAGTCACAAACCTATTTTCAAATATCAGCTCTACTGTTTCCTACCTGTGTGATCCTGGACAAACTGGACAATTCTGTTGGAACCTTATATTTTATGGCATGTAAAATTGGGAGGAAAAAAACCTCTCTGTACAAAACTCAAGTTTATATGCAAAAGAAGTTTTTAACATTTAAATTCTATGCAAATGTTTATTATTATGGGAATTATTAATTAAACTGCTTCAAGCTAGGGATGTGACTAAGTATAGACTGTTTTAGTGACATTAAATGTGTAACACATATTAGAAATTGATCTGTTTTTTCTTTTAAAGAACATTGCTATGTAGTGTTTCTTTTGCTATTCCACTTAGCTGGTAGGAGTTCCTTTTAAATGTACTGGAGTAGGAAATCCTAAATTACGGCAGGGATACAGGAAACAACTGTGACTGTCTTGGTCACCAACAACTGTCAGGTTACCAAATCCGTTGGGCATTTCTGTCCTCATCTTACTTGACATCTCAGCACATGATTGATTTGTGACTGAACAATTGATTATTTTTTTCTTCTTGAAATTCCTTTGACTCACACAATGCCACACTCTGTTTTCCTACCTTTTTGTATAGTCGTCAGCCTCCTTGTTGACTCCTCCTCATTTCTTGATCCTTGAGGGGGACCCATGGGTTTGGACCCTCTTCTCAAAGCTCTTTCCCTGTTGAACTCATTAACTCATTCAGATCTGTATGCTGTCTATATGTCCATGATTTCCAGATTTATGACTCAGTCAGACTCATATAACAGGTCTGTGAGTCCGAGCATCAGCCTCATATACCTGTCTTCTTCATATCTCATTTTGGTGTATCAGGCATCTCATACTTGTTTCTGGTTGAACTGCTGATTTTCTCCACCTCTTTCTCATCATTAGCCTTTTCTATTTTAATAAGTGGTACCTTTCTCTACCTAGTTCTTCATGCCAGATTTGGTGTTCTTTGACACTGTCCTCTTTCTCAAGCTCCCCACATCAAATTCATTACAAAGTCATATTAATTTTTCTTCTAAAATATATTTCTAATCCATTTACTTATTTTCCTTCTTGTGTCTGAGACCTTCCATTTGGCATTGTTTTTCCATTGCCTGAGGTATATGCTTTCATATTTCTTTTGATGAGTCTGTTGGTGGTGTGCCGTTTTTGTTTGTCTGAAAAATGTGTTTATTTTACTTTTGTCTTTAAAAAATATTTTGGGCTGGCAGTTGTTTTCTTGTAGTACATTGAAGATACCCTTTCATCCTGCCTTCTGGCTTTCATTGCTACTGTTGAGAAATAACCTATTATTCTAATTACTGTTGCTTCGAAGGTAACTTTTCTGGCACAAAGTAGATGCTCAAGTAACTTTTGTGTTTTTTTTAATGAGTAAATTAACTTTTTTCCTTTACTGTCCATCTATCATATAATCATATGCATTTATGAAACCTAAGATTTTAAATTATATTCTCTTGTGATTTTGGTCATTATTTCATTTTTAGAGATTTTGAGGTTTTCTCTTTTTTGTTTATTGAAATAGGATTTTTAGTGAAAGTTTATACAGTGACAAAAACTGGCAGAAAAGATTGTTGACACAACTTAATAAGCTTATTAGAAACAAGTAAATGTTTTATTAAGTACATTTTTAGGAAGTTTTGAAAATTGGATATTTCTTAAGGTGATACCAAGAATATTGTCCACTGTCTGAATTATTTTCCTTTACAGGTTATGTCGCTTAAAAAAGAAAGCACAGGCAGAAGCAAATGCTACAGCTATCAGTAATCTCTTGCCATTTATGGAATATGAAGTGCATACTCAGCTAATGAATAAACTAAAACTCAAAGGAATGAATGCTTTGTTTGGTCTAAGAATTCAGATTACAGTGGGTGAAAATATGTTGATGGGCTTAGCGGTAAGTTTTGATGTTTTCGGCTTTGTTTTGTGATTTCTGTAGTTGTAGATTCTGTTTTATGTGAGTCAAAGACTCTTTTAAAAGACTTATACAAAGAAACTGACATCAAGCCTTTTAAAGGCTGGGGACTTTTTAAGAAGTGAAAAATCTGATGATAAGCATTCACATATTTTAAAGGGTCTGTGATCATAACCTCAGTAGTCCTATTTCTAAAAATCATCATGTGTAACTTGTTTAGTAAGTTGGCCACCATTGTTCTGGACTTAATTATTGTTCATATGTTGCTAAAATAGAGTTTCTCCATCTTGGCACAGTTGACATTGGGGTAGGATAACTCCGTTGCAGGGGCTGTCTTCTTCATTATAGGATGTTTAGCAGCGTCCCTGGCCTTTACCCACTAGATGCTGGTAATATCCCTCCAGTTGTAACGACCAAAAATGTCTTCAGACATTGCCAAATGTCCCTTTAGGGGGTTCTAACATCCAGGAAATCCTGGATAGTGGACCATGCACTAAAATAATCTTTAGTTTAAAGGACAAAATAAAGCAAAGCATGTGAGACGCTGCCTACTGTTGAGCAGAGAAATAAGTTTCATCCTAAGTGTGTACCTGTGGCCAGTGGAGAAAAGTGTAATAAAATATGTGTTTCTTAAGTGTGGATAAAATATGAGACAGGGAAAAACTCTGTCTCAGCTTCATGTTCTTCTTGGCTTGTTGGAAAATGAGTTCTGACTGGAAAGATGTCAGTGGGGAAAGTCAGTGCTGCCTCTATCAGTAGGATGGGATCCAGAAATCTAGGTGCCTGTGAAATACATACTGATCCTGTGGAATCTGATCAACAATATGTATGAAAATCCTCTCATATTCTAGGCACTTTGCTAGCTGGGATTTTATGTCACTGGCAATTTTCAAATTAGAATTCTTTTGCCATCTTTCTGAGACATGCGTAGAAGTTTAATTTTAAGAAATTTATGGAACTTGAATTCTTTGTCTCAGTGTACATTTGTAGGCAAAAATGCAAAATTATTTCCTGTGCCATCTGTTGTTTCTATAAGCACAAATATATAAATTTCTGTATGTAGTAAATAATTATGTCTTGATAAACTGAGTAGGTACCACAATTTTCTAACAACAGAAGTTTGTAATAATTATTGAAAGTAACTTGGTTTATTAAAATATTTGATACTTAGATTAACTTGGGGGAAAAAGTATTCATTTTAATTCAGTGCTCTGAAAATTTGCATGTTTAGTGAGGACATAGCATAAATGTGTAGCTTGGGCTGAATAGAAGACTGTAGTGATTGGTGGGTGCCTGTGGGAACTAAGAGCTGCATTCAGATTCAAAGGTTTAAAAAACATTGTGCTAACTATACCAAATATTAACATTTCTGATGATTGAGCCTCAGGAAACTAGTTTATGACACTGCTATAATTCAAGACCTGCCTCAGATACTGCTTTTCTGATTCATAATAATCTTTTCCTTCTTGATCACTAGTGATACTAATTACAACTGTTTGACATTTTCATCTTTGTGCTTTGTTGTAGTTTGTGCCCTTAAATCTCAAGGTCTCAGGAGTAGCTTCTGTGATAGATAAGTAATCTCTGATGAGTGCCAACTAGGTGTCTGGCACTGTGCTATCTCAGAAGGAATGTAATATTATCTTTACAAGAGGAGAAAATGCAAGGTTGAGACTCCAAAGTGATGTGGTTACATGTGTCAGAACCTATCTGGTTCCAGAATCTGTGTTCTTAACTGTTCAGGGTTGTTGCCTCATTGATGGATGGAGATAAAGTATTAGAGATGGTGTGCTAAGGCTTCATATGGTACGCTTGGCGGGGGTGTGGGTTCTGTGATTAAGCATCAGAGACTGGGCCATGGGTGCAACGATGGACACTAATGAGCAAATGAGGAGAGAGCACTCCTGAAGACAAATTTTATCTACTGTGCGGACTTCATTGTAGACTGTCATACCCTTTCTAGGATGGACTTTTACAAAATTGGCAATTGATGAATTTAAAAAATAATAATAACAGTTCAAACAATTAAATACACAAAATAGCCACAATTAAATACACAAATAGCCAAAGTTAAAAGAATTGTCTTCTCTCTTTCCCATTCTATTTCTCTGATGTTAACAATTTGATGTTTATACTTCTAATATATTTTTTGCTTTGTTATAGTGGCATATTTAGACATAAATTATATATTTAATTGATATATAAAAATTTTATCTTTTTATATTTCCCATAATAGTTTTCCAGTACTAATGGTATATAGTACTGTTATAGAGTCAGAAATTAATAGCTTAATTAAATATTTAAAATAAATCTATATCAAGTAAAATTTTTTTTCTTGGTAATTATGAGGTAGGGTGATAGAATGAAAAGTTCTTGGATTTTGGAGTGAGAAACACTTAGATTCAAATCTCTTCTCCACATTTATTGACTATGATCTTGAGTAAGTTTCCTATCCTTTCTGAACTTCAGTTTCTTCACTTGCCTTGCAAAATTTCCCTTTTACTTTTGCCACTATTTAAAGGTAGATTGTCTACTCATTTATGAAGAATTTTTTTTAGCAACTTTTCTTTTCTTTTTTTTTTTTTTGCTAGGCTATTTTTAAATTTTAGTTGTATTTTTTAAAATTATAAAGTAAAAACATAAAAAGTACAATTGTGGGTATGCAGTCAAAAGTAAATCCTCCTTTCACAATTGTCCCGCACCTACTCCAGGTCCTCCCCAGGAGAAACCAATCCCTGTTACCAGTTATGTTTTTGCATCCCCTTCCAGAGACGTCCGGTGCATACACTGATGATTACTGTCTTTTTCCTACTGAGCAAAGACCACATTCCTAAATATGGAAGCTTAAGGATCATTATTCTAGATATTTTTTCTGATTATTTCCCTATTATTTTTCCAAGTCTGCCACAGGTGTATATTTAGCAGCTTTGCCAACTCCTGGCGGTATTCAGATTGCTGGGAAGACTCCTAATGATGGCTCATATGAACAGCATATCTCTCACATGCAGAAAAAGATAAATGACACAATTGCTAAGAACAAAGAGTTATATGAAATTAATCCTCCGGTAAGTAAAATAAATCTATATTGTGAGTATATCAGTTATTGTTTATTAGTTTATTAATATATTTTCTGGTTATCTTATTTTGGATATGAAAGATTTTTTTTTTTTAACTGCTTAAATTAGCTCTCCTTATTACTCATTTTTTCACCTGCCTTATGTCTCTGCTCAAATGTCTCTTTTTTGGGTAGGCCTACTCTAACCATCCTGTTTAAAAATGACAACTCTCTTGTCTATTTTTGGTACTTCCTATCACCCTTCCTTCTTTTATTGTTTTTTATAACTCTTGTGTGTATGTGTATCTGTACAGATAATGTTTTTTATTTTTGTCTATTGCCTGCTATAACTAGTATAATAAAGCTCGATGAGGTCTGTGTTCCTAATGCCTAGAACAGTTACTCATAGTAGTAGCCTCTTAATAAATACTTGTTAAATGATGAACTGAATGGTTTAAAATGTTGTTTTTTAGTAAAAAGAAAGGTTGCTCATCTGTGGTAAAAATGTGGAGGAATACCGTTTTTCATTTATTGTTTCTTTATTACAATTTTCCTACCAGTCATTTCCATAATCAATCAGTCATTTTACCAAGTTTTCAGGAGGTATCACAATGCTTCCATTTCTACGGATGCTTTATAGCCACAGTCTAAATTGAAAGAAAAATGTGTTGGAGTTAGAGTGAAACCATTTGTTTTTATGAGTCCCTGATAATGAAATACTTTCCCAAAGGAAAGGATTTGGATATCATTATTATTGATGTTTTATTATTTTATACATACTGTCTAATTTTGGCTGGTCTTGTGGAGCATTGCATCTGAATCCTTACATCAGACCTATAGCTCTTATCATTATTCTAGAAAAATTGCTAAGCTGGGAGGAATTTTCAGGATATGAACTAGAGCTACACTGTTCATTGTGGTAGCCACCGGCCACATGTGGCTGTTGAGCACTTGATGTGTGGCTGGTCTGAATTGAGATGTACTGTAAGTATGAAATATGCAATGCATTTTGAAGACTTACTTAGTATGAAAAAGAATGTGAAATTTCATGAATATTTTTATATTGACTACACATTGAAAGTTTCATCTTTTGGACATTGAATTAAATAAAATATTTTCTTAAAATTGATTTTGTTTCTTTTTAATTCATTTACCTATGTGCTGTGCTTTATATTTCTATTGAATAATGCTGACTTAGAGTCTATTTAAATTGAATAAAAATGTTGATGTGTTAATGTATTAATACTTGAAAAATAGATTTGATAAAAACTCTCTGTATGCCACTTTTACTAACTGCTTATTTTTATGGTACATTATTTTTATTTTTTAATTACATTTTTATATTTGAATATCTACTTATAGTGTTTATACCAGTTGGGGAGAGTGATTTGTAAAGCTGCATGTTAGGCTCCGTTTATTCTTCATTTATCAGTTCTAATGATAATGAGCTGAGCTCTTACTTAATAGTGTTTATCACCTCTGTAAATCCATCCTGATCTCCCAGAGGAAGAATTGATTCTTCCTCCATTATGTTCATGTTGTACCCTATTTGTACTTCGGTGCCTCTTACATATTATTGCACTTAGTTTTTACATGTCTATCTTTCTTTAATGTAAGTCCTTTGAAGACAGGAATGTATTGATATAAAAAAATGAGTTGTTACTTCCTTTAGTTCTTACTGAGATGCTCCTATGTGTCATACAATTTACATTATGCAGAAGGGAGTAAATCTATTATGATTTTTAAAATTTCTGCATATATGAATTTCATATATTTCTACAAAAGGACTCAATTTGTGAATCTTCTAATATGTCTTTCCTTATATCAGATACTATATTATAATTTTTTAGCATAACATCTCAGAATTCGTTTGACACACAAAGTTTGTGTACAGAGTCAATGCACAAGCAAGGTTAATTACATTACAGTTTTGTGTTTTCAATTTTGTAAAGCAGTGTATGCTCACCCTGAAAATGTGGATCAGAGTGTTTTCTCTTAGAAAGATAGCTTTAGCTGAAGTAAATGCTTTTGTTTGAATTTTTCTCAATACATTGAAAAATGTTTCTAATGCAGAGATGTAGTACCACTTAATTGAACTTTATGTAGATACAGGTATCAAAATAAGATGCAAATCTTTTAAAATAACACTACTAGTAATGAACCCTCATTATGGACCTAAAATATATTAAATACCAGACAGTTACATTTATTAAGTCCATGATACAGTGAACAGAGGCTTAACAGAATTTAACCTACTATAAAATCCTAAAAAGAAGTGTGGTATCTAGTGGGACAGACGTTGCACTGAGTCAAAAGAACTGACCTAGACAGAGTCCATACTATTTTGTTTTGTTTTATTTATTTTAATTTAATTTTTTATTTTATTCTGACCTAGACAGGTTCCACACTTACTAGTTTTCTTTTTTATTTTACTTTATCTTTTTCTCGCCCTTTGATTTTACAGTAATACACTTACTAGTTTTCAAACTCAAGCAGACTAGTTTACTTCTGAATTGCAGCTCTTTCTCATTTGGTAGTTATTACAATGTGCACCCTGTCAAATGTATATAGGGCAAGTTAATTTGGAGCTCAGATAAGATAAATGGATGTGAAAGTACTCTGTAGAGCATTATGCTATGAAATTGTGTAGTGGTCGTCTTTTATCTAAGGTATGCACTAGCAATGGACATTTAAAACTATCTTTTTGAAAAACTTCTGCTTATAATTTTTATAACTTGGTTTTTAAAAAGATAGTTGTGTTTCACTAGCAATAGGTTATGCCTTCTTCATTTGTGCTCACATACCCACATTCTTCTGCGACTCCTTGTGGCTAACAGATACTTAGAACTTTATAGTTAGCTCTGATCTTTGGTTCTGTAATAGGGAAAAGTTCTCTAACCCATATGGTTAGTGAACCATACACTCACCTTAAAAAGATCATTATTGTAACTCCCAAAGTTTATTTAGCTTAATAAGTTACACAGAAAGTACCTACATAGTATTAATAAATGTATGTGTATTCATACACATATATTTGTCATATTCCAGGGTTTACTATGGGGAGCTTTGGAAAATTACGAGTGGATAAGAAAAGATATAAAAGATTAGAATTCTTTCTGGGGACATAAATCTTTAAATCTTTATGGCTTGTTAGGACTTTTAAATGTTGAGTAGAATGTACATATAGCCAGGAGTGCCGAATTTCTGAGCTTGAAGGACTGCCAATTCCATACTCACTGTAGTGTCTTGTCTGTGCACTAGATGTCAGCTTTGCCTTGTCATGTCTGTGACAGTCATATATGTGTTTCAGGATTAGTGTATCAGTAAGGCTGCTGTTATGGATAAAAGGAAATTTCCATATCCTCTATAAAAGGTTAATTATAAAGGTCATTCTTAAATACAGACTTCATTGAATATATGTTACAGGCTTTCTTCTCCACAGGTAGTTGTCTTTTAATATAAAAATGTAAAACCAAACAATCTGATATGATACAAAAGCAATTGTATTTCTTTTAGGAGATATCTGAAGAAATTATAGGATCACCCATCCCAGAACCTAGACAGCGTTCAAGACTTTTAAGATCTCAATCAGAAAGTTCTGATGAAGTTACAGAATTAGACCTTTCACATGGGAAAAAAGATGCTTTTGTTTTGGAGGTAATGTTGCATTACGCTAATTTCTTAAAGGTTTTAGAAGATAAGATAAACATTTTTTTAATCAGACGCTAAATGATTAATACTTTTATCTCATTACAACTGTTATAAAAGATTATTATAGAAATTATAACAAACTTGAAAATATAGAACTTGGTAACATATTTTTTATTGAACACCAGATGACAGATTACAATAATGCAGATGGTTATGAAAAAAATTTATGGGTTGAAATATTAAAATAGTATTAAACCTTTGGAGTTATTTTTGTAAACTTGAATGAATTTAAATAAGAAATTAAAGTGCTGTTCTTTAATTTACTATAATTATTGCCTGCTTTATATGTTATGTTACTATAATTATAATATTTTTGCATGTAATATGTAATAATATATGCACTGTGAATTCTGAGCATAGTGTTCTCTTACTGAATTCAGAAGATACAATCTTTCTTTATAAAAAGACACTCAGAACATTTTAGTAACTTTCCTAGAGAATAAATGTGGCACAAATCTGCTCTACCTGCCCTCCCCTGTAGAATGGTTATCCTGTAAAGAGATAGAAGATCTTCCTTTTTATATTGAAGGAAGAGAAAATAAATGAGGATACTCAGAAATCCAGTAAGGTACAAATTGAAAGAGAAAAAAAAAAATCAAATGCTTTGATCTCAGTGAAGCAGGAAGCTGGTGGTAGAATTGTTTCGGGATGGAACTGGAGATTTGAAGAGTCAGGAACAGTGCCAGGGACTGTGATGAGGATGTCAGCCATGAGAGATGTGCAAGGCCTGAGGTGAGAGTGTTAATTTGTGGAAAACCCAAATTGTATGGTGTTTTGCCTTTTTTTCCACATTTCTCTACAGTTCGAGAATGGAAAAAATGGAACTTGGCAAAAGACTGTATCAGTTCAAGAAGGTAAAAGGTTGCAGGTACTGTTCAGAGCAGAGCTACTCAAGGTGTGGTGTGACTACTTGCAGCATCAACACTACTTGGGAGCTTGTGAGAAATGTAAATTCCTGGGCCCCTACCTCAGACCTATTAAATGAGAATTTCAGGGGGCCCAGGGATCTGTTTAACAAACTTTGCAGGTGATGCTAAGCATTACATGGGTTTGATCTAAAGCATTATTGATATGTCTGATATTGGGATCATGGCTAAGTGGAGAGGTACATGGGAACAAAGAGGCCTCATATGTGGGCAGAGCACTGAGGGCAAGGGGGGCAGATTGAGTAAGAGGGGACAAAGAGACAGGGTTATAGTTGGAGAACGCGTCAGGTCCTTGGTGTGGAGGATTTTGGGGAATAGTAAGTTGAGATATGGCCACATATGGGGGTAGCTAAGGTGAAGTGAAAATGATTCTTGGAGTCATGAGGGTAATGCGAGGGGAAGCTTAGAGTCTGCAAGTCAGGACTTAGACACCTGATGTACAGACAACTGTCAATTTATGTCCAGCTGGATATTTTCAGTATTTATTAGTCACAATGGAATATTGTGATATAAGAAATATAGGATTTAGACTTATTTATTTTAGATATGCCTTTAAATTTATCTCTACCTTATTCCATTGTTAAACAGTTTTGTATTTAGTCAAAAGCTTTTTTTAATTATACTTTATTAATTTTAACAAATTGGGATGATGATTACTTATGGTGTCTTTGTAAGTCTTCAGAAATATGCTCTCATAAAGGCTTGAGAAAAGGCTAGTTTTTTGTTTTGTTTTGTTTTAGAGACAGGGTCTCACTCTGTACAGCCCAGGCTGGAGTACAGTGGTACATTCATTGCTCACTGCAGCCTTGAACTCTTGGGTTCAAGCCATTCTCCTGCCTCACCCTCTGGAGTAGCTGGGACTCCAGGCACACGCCACCATGCCCAGCTAATGTTTAAATTTTTTTTTTTGTAGAGACAAAGTCTTGCTATGTTACCCAGGTTAGCCTCAAACCCCTGGGCTCAAGCAATCATCCCACCTTGGCCTCCCAAATTCCTGGGATTATAGGTGTGAGCCCCTGCACCTGGCAAGGCTAGGGGTTTTTTTTTTGGTAAACTTAGTGTACTTTAATATGTAAAATATTTCATTTAGAAGTATTCGTATTAATTATTACTGTGGAGAAACTTACTAGAATTTTTTTTATGTTATATATTTTAACTTAGGGAAAAATAGCTATACTTTTTCTTGACTCTTATATTTTCTATTTAACAAAAACAATTTTTTAAAAATTTGAAATAATTATACATTTACTACTTACATAATAGTTTTAATCTTTTTGTTTTCAGATTGATGACACAGATGCCATGGAAGATGTACATTCTCTACTTACTGATGTTCCTCCTCCTTCAGGTGAACAGAAAGTTACTTTGAGATGAAACTAGTTTTAAATACCAATACTTTGGTTTGCAATTATTATGGTACTAACTTTTAAAGACTTTACCATAGCATCATGTGCGTTGCTGTTACAAGGCTGAAAATACATAATTTAAAAATATTTACGTTAGAAGTTAGGTGGAACTGATTTTTAATCTTTTTATGTTTATACATGAAAAAAAAAACTTTGATAATTTATTAAGATGGCTTAAAGTCTCCTGAAGATATAGTTTTAGAAAAAAAGAAAATTTTTACAGTTAGAACATCATGTAATAATTGAAAAATACTATTTAACATGAAAATCAATGAAATATTATGTAATTTAATTATTTATTTTGACAGGCTTTTATAGTTGTAATACAGAAATTATGCCTGGTATAAATAATTGGACATCTGAAATACAGGTAAATCCTTTATTCTTAATTATAAGCAAATACCATAGAAGTTATTTTAGTAAGTTTCATATAAACAAATATCTCTTTTTTTTATGAGTTCCTTATTGCAATTAAAATGTTATCCTTTTTCATACCACATTAGCTACTGTTCGCTATTGGGCAATTTTATCAATTGTTACAGTATTTAGTTGAAAATAATAAAATGACATGTTATTCTGTCGCCCCACATTTAGATGTTCACTTCAGTAAGAGTAATCAGATTAAGCAGCCTTAACCTGACTAATCAAGCTCTCAATAAGAACTTTAATGATCTCTGTGAAAATTTGCTCAAGGTAGGAACCTTCTGACTAAATTTTATTTAAACCTTCTAAGAGTCATTAAATTTTAAAAGTGCACGTATTATCTATAATACCTTACACAGTTGTGGGCTAAATTATTCTTATTTACGTATCTTACCTCTGTCGTCAGGTGAGATGCTAAAGTTGTCCTCACCCTCTTAACATACTGTAAAAGAAATGTAGTTTAAGTTAGTTAATAGTTTTAAATTAAAAAAAAATCTAATGTATATGTGTAAGTTTTAAAAACCCTATTTCTTATTTTTTGTGACTTACAAATGATTAAATCTTACTGTCTACTTAAATATTGAAAATATATTGTTAATGTAAAAATAAACAAAAACGGACCAGTTTTGTTTTAGTCTTTCTAACTTTCCATTTGCTGTAATATAATGTACATTAAGAAAATCAGCTTTTATAAATTTTTAAATAAAAAAGTGACATTACTAATGTTTTCTATTGGGTAGAGCTTGTATTTTAAACTGCGATCCATGATCCCCTGCTGCCTTTGCCATGTCAATTTCACAGTATCTCTGCCTGAAGATGAATTAATTCAGGTAATTAAGATTCAGTCTATTATGAAAGAAGATTTCTAGCTTGTATCTGATCTATTTTAATATAATGTTGCCATAATTGAATAACTGAAGTACATACTGTTTTACCTCAAAATATTAAAAAATATGTATTGGTATGATTCAGGCCATGTGTTTTTCTTTTTTCTGAACTGTAGTTATTTGAAAGTGGAATCACACATGTGTTCCAGCGTGTATACAATAGGATCTGTACTCATCATGTAGGATTTCACCATTTCCCGTTTTTTAGAGAAGGTTCTTGAGCTTTTTCTGGAATATCTAGATTTAGTATCTATGTTGGGCATAGCTGTAGTTAAATATCTGAGTTTATATGTAATTCTGGTTGAGGTTCTTAACCAGGAAAGGCCAATTAGCCAGTTGGTATAGGTTGTTCTGTGGTACTGAAAAAGATTTGTAAGAAACTTGATTTTCACAATGATTATTTTGCTAATCAGAATTCTGTTTCTATAATTCTAGGTTACAGTCACAGCAGTTGCAATAACTTTTGACAAAAATCAGGCTTTACAGACCACAAAAACACATGTTGAAAAGTCATTGCAAAGAGGTAAACCTTTGATGGATGGGAAATACAGTTTGTGTTTGTCTGTGTTACAGTTCAGTGATAAAATATGGAGGACAGGTAGATTAAATAAATGACTTGTTTCCTGAAGAGGCATTTACTGCTTTCTCTGTTCATCTTTATCAAGATAACTGTGTTGATAAGCGTATGGTATTGTTCACATATAACTAGGTGGTCTTTGGTATTTACATAGGGAATGCTGCTGTTTTTTAAACTGAGATTATAGCATATTTATTCTGTGGTAATTTAGGAGTTCCTATGGTAAGATCTGTGGTAAAGCGAGGTCCTCAAGGCATCTGAGAACATACTGATGTAGTAAGCAAAATAGTGTGCCTATGTATTTTTCTCAGGAAAAGTCCCATAGTATTCAACAGATTCTAAGAGGTGTCCTTAATCCAGTAAAATTTAGGGAGTACCATTTTTTTTTTTTTTTTTTGAAACACAGTCTTGCTTTGTTGTCTGGGCTAGAGTGAGTGCCATGGCATCAGCCTCGCTCACAGCAACCTTAAATTCCTGGGCTCAAACGATCCCCCTGCCTCAGCCTCCCAAGTAGCTGGAATTACAGGCACTCGCCACCAAGCCCAACTAATTTTTTGTTTTGATTTTTAGTTGGCCAGCTAATTTTTTCTATTTTTAGTAGATGCAGGGTCTTACTCTTGCTCAGCCTGGTCTCGAACTCTTGACCTCAAGCAATCCTCCCGCCTCTGCCTCCCAGAGTGCTAGGATTATAGGTGTGAGCCACCGCATCCAGCCTACCATTCTTAATACATCCAAAAAACTCAAATTATTAGAAATTATAAAGGAAATACTCTACTTTGTAAAGTTTAAATGACTTACTAGCTAAATAAAATATCCATGATTAGTCTAAACTTTTTAGTTGATTACATTCCACATGTATGGCATTGATAAGATTTGAGCATTGAATTAATGTCAGATAGATGTATTAAATGATTTTGTATTCACATATTTATCAAAGAAGATAAATAAACGGTTTAAGTATAGAAACTAGTAAGGTACAAAATGTAGGATATTAATAATTATTACTGAGCGCTTACTGTTTGCACGGCACTGTGCTAAGTGATTTACAGGTATGAATCTTTTAAAATCTCCCTGTAGTCCTACCAGGGAAGGTAGCACCACTCTCACCATCATGCAGATAAAGGGTCCTCATGGGAAAGACCAAGGAGAAAATAACTAGAATAAATTGGGGTGGCGAGGTGGACCTGAGAATGTGAATATGAATATATATATGTTATCACAGATTCTTAATTTAAAAGAAAAATAATAATCGTTACTATTAAAATTGGCATTTTTCTTGCCTTTCTAGCCTCTACAGATAATGAAGAACTTCTGCAGTTTCCGCTGGAACTGTGTTCAGATTCACTTCCTTCTCATCCTTTTCCACCAGCTAAAGGTTGGTTAAGTAAGGGAAAAAGCAAACACAAATTGTAGTTTTTAGTTCCTTTCACTTGCTTCTTCCTTATAGGTGGTCTTACTTAATCTTGAGGTGAAGATTTATCCTTCATTTCCTCGTTGTATGTTTCTTCATGTTCATAAAGGGGAGAAAATAATATTCCTCTTATTTTAATTTCTCAATTAATTTCATCATAAATTATTCAGGTAATTTTTTCTATGATATTCCATTCTCATACTGAAAATGTATTAAAATTGTATTTTCAAAGATTTAGATGTCGTAACGTAACTATTCACACATGTATATTTGGTATTTATATCTGGTAATTCTTTTCCTAGCAACAATCAAACTTTACAAATTTTTAGATTTTCGTAGACAACAGAATGCTTGTTTTTTTCAGAAGACACATGGAGAAGTTTTGAGTGGGGGTAGTACAAGTGAGAAAGGGATGAGCTTCCTGTCTTTTGTGCGCCTAGGCTATAATTGAAGAACATTGTTATATACTTATAAGACATTGCTATTTTTTTCAAATGCAAAATGATTGCCCCTTAATAGTAGTAAATCTGGTTTGATCCGTGCAATCTTTGGAGAAAAGTGGGAGGTATTGTTTTCCATTTCTCATCTGATTTCACTGTAATTTTTATTATATGAGTTTTCAAAATTATATTACTTTATTTTGTAGCAATTGTCTATTGGATAAATATGTTTTTCCTAAGTTTTTTTATTTGGAGAAATGATGCATTTGTTATTTAAAACTAAATCAGCAATTCTAATTTTTATATTTTGTAATACAAGTGAAATTATTTTATGATCTCTACTTATTATTTTATCTGATGCCAAACTGTGTATAATAAATAATAGTTTTATATTCACTTTGAGTATATGTCAGTAGAATCTTTACTAAATCGATGTAAGGCCTATCTATTAATACATAGATAAATGATCCTGTCTCATATTTTGAAGATGAAAAGTTAGCTGCTTCTAGATTCTGAACTTTCCAACATAGTAATTGTGGTCCTTTTTTCTTTTTGTCATCACCTAAAATTCTAATTTAGAACTACATAGAGAATTGTAGCATATCTCATATTCTTGAAAGAATAGAGAAGAAAAATCAAATTCAAAGGTAATCTGAGTTCAGATTTATGAATTAAATATAGCTTCTAGAGAACAGAAAGCAGAACTGTCAAGAGTCTTCCTTGAACTTACTAGGCAAGTGGGTTTTTTCCCCCCTTTAAACACCTACTTTAAACAGAAACTTGTGTTGATGCAGGGTTAGTTCCAAATCACTTTCAAGTATCATTTCATTTATCCTTAACCTGCAAAGGAGCAAAAAACAAATCCTCTAAAACCTAATCAACAACAAAAGATTTGATCAATTGCTAATCTATAGGAATTGATATTTGTGGACTTGGGGCCTCTAATAGCTCGGTTTTACCATGTTGTTAATACCTACTGAATTCTGCAGAAGATTAGATTTAAACTATGAATTTGCCTAGACTGTATTGGTAACTTACCATTTCTGCAGTAGCTTTCAAAATGTTTTCAAAAGTAATTATAACCAGTGTTTATGTGGTCATTCATATATTTTGTGCAAAATGATACTTTGTGAACTAAAGAACATGAAAAGAATTTGAGTAGAACAAGTCATATTTAAATAGTGTCTAAAATATTTGCGACTCAGAGAGAATGGAGAGGGGCCAAGTGGTGGAGTAAAAATGCAACAGACTTGGGTTCTCTTCTCAATTCTGCTACTGATAAGCGAGAACTTGGGCCAATTCCCTAACCTCTTTAAGCCTCAGTTCCTCACATATAAAATGTGAAAGGGTTAAGATTCCCACAGGCCTTTAAAATTCTTTGATTCTTTGGGTTTCCCATCGTTTATGGTTCTTCAATTATTAACATATTCATATTATTAGAAAAGTAAATCAAAAGCTAAATTAGTGCCTGAGGTCACACTGGGTCACACTGACCTTCTGTAATTAATTTAAATTAAATGTTTCCAAGTAACTTCTTCTAATCAGTTAAACCAATAATTTTCAAATTCTGCTTCTCTAAACTGGAGGGGTTTGTCATAGGTGCCTCATGGCCTTCTAGGAGGCAGGGTGGGAGGGAGCAGAGAGGGGCGGGTAGGTGAGAGGATAGCTTTTTGGATCCCCTACTTCTGAACCAGACTAGCTGCAATTCAGTGTGTTTTTTCCTATTGGTCTTCTATGTATGGTTTTACTTGAAGAAAGGGTTTCAAGGTTTGAAAACCACTAAATCAGATCATGCCACCTTTATCATTGTCATTATCATAATTATCAGTATCATCACATCTAATACTAAGATATGTAAAACATTTTACAGTAGGTACTTAACTGCAAAAATTATGTGCTTTTCCTTGAATATTACATTTTAAAATCATCAGTCAACACTTAAAAGTGTTTATGTACCTTTTTGTAAATAGTTCTGTGGTTTTGTAAATTGTGGTTTATGTTGCATGCTTATTTATTGTCTTTGCTTCCTCAAGTCTTTTCAGGAGGACATGAGTTAAATGTATTTTTAAAAGTTATCTCAAAATATTTGGGAAAATTTGAGGGTAAGATGGATTTTGAAAAGGCCTGAAGAATATAGTAATAGATTTTGTAACATTAATATGAATGGAATAAATGAATGTTCTAACATGACAGAGGCTTGGAATAGAGGATAGAAATGTCTGGAAAAATTTAAGCATAGCAAATTAGAGGAAATAGGCAGAAGAGAGAAAGGTAAGAGTGGTAGGAATGAATGCTCAAAAGACTTGTCTGCTTTCTTATGTGCAACAAGAGGCTTAAAAGTCAACTACTAAAATTGATAAATAAATATATAGTTTTTATAATTTAAGTGGTTAGCTAAGCAATAGTTTTTAATTTCAGTAACTTTGAATTCTAGTTTATATTTCATGTTCTTATCACAAATAGGATGATGTGTTAAAATTTTTTATTTCTTTTTATGTTGACAGGAGAGTAGTTTCAAGAGTTAAGA